ACATACACCTATTACTGAGGTGTCTCCACCCGATGTACATACACCTATTACTGTGGTGTCTCCACCCGGTGTACATACACCTATTACTGTGGTGTCTCCACCCGATGTACATACACCTATTACTGGTGTCTCCTCCCGATGTCTCCACCCGGTGTACATACACCTATTACTGAGGTGTCTCCACCCACCTATTACTGTGTACATACACCTATTACTGTGGTGTCTCCACCCGATGTACATACACCTCCATTACTGAGGTGTACTCCACCCTATTACTGTGGTGTCTCCACCCGGTGTACATACACCTATTACTGAGGTGTCTCCACCCGAGTACATACATATTATTACTGAGGTGTCTCCACCCGATGTACATACACCTATTACTGAGGTGTCTCCACCCGATGTACATACACCTATTACTGAGGTGTCTCCACCCGATGTACATACACCTATTACTGAGGTGTCTCCACCCGATGTACATACACCTATTACTGAGTTGTCTCCACCCGGTGTACATACACCTATTACTGAGGTGTCTCCACCCGGATGTACATACACCTATTACTGTGGTGTTCCACCCGGTGTACATACACCTATTACTGAGGTGTCTCCACCCGATGTACATACACCTATTACTGAGGTGTCTCCACCCGATGTACATACACCTATTACTGAGGTGTCTCCACCCGATGTACATACACCTATTACTGAGGTGTCTCCACCCGATGTACATACACCTATTACTGTGGTGTCTCCACCCGATGTACATACACCTATTACTGTGGTGTCTCCACCCGATGTACATACACCTATTACTGAGGTGTCTCCACCCGATGTACATACACCTATTACTGTGGTGTCTCCACCCGGTGTACATACACCTATTACTGAGGTGTCTCCACCCGATGTACATACACCTATTACTGTGGTGTCTCCACCCGATGTACATACACCTATTACTGAGGTGTCTCCACCCGATGTACATACACCTATTACTGAGGTGTCTCCACCCGAGTACATCCACCTAGTACTGTGGTGTGTCTCCACCCGATGTACATACACCTATTACTGAGGTGTCTCCACCCTATTACTGTACATACACCTATTACTGTGGTGTCTCCACCCGATGTACATACACCTATTACTGTGGTGTCTCCACCCGATGTACATACACCTATTACTGTGGTGTCTCCACCCGGTGTACATACACCTATTACTGAGGTGTCTCCACCCGATGTACATACACCTATTACTGTGGTGTCTCCACCCGATGTACATACACCTATTACTGAGGTGTCTCCACCCGGTGTACATACACCTATTACTGTGGTGTCTCCACCCGATGTACATACACCTATTACTGAGGTGTCTCCACCCGGAGTACATACACCTATTACTGAGGTGTCTCCACCCGATGTACATACACCTATTACTGAGGTGTCTCCACCCGATGTACATACACCTATTACTGTGGTGTCTCCACCCGGTGTACATACACCTATTACTGTGGTGTCTCCACCCGGATGTACATACACCTATTACTGTGGTGTCTCCACCCGGTGTACATACACCTATTACTGTGGTGTCTCCACCCGGTGTACATACACCTATTATTGTTCCTGAGGTGTGTGGTCTCTCCACCCGGTGTACATACACCTATTACTGAGGTGTCTCCACCCGGAGTACATACACCTATTACTGTGGTGTTCTCCACCCGGTGTACATACACCTATTACTGTGGTACTCCACCCGTCTCCACCCGATTACTACATACACCTATTACTGTGGTGTCTCCACCGGTGTACATACACCTATTACTGAGGTGTCTCCACCCGTTGTACATACACCTATTACTGAGGTGTCTCCACCCGATGTACATACACCTATTACTGTGGTGTCTCCACCCGATGTACATACACCTATTACTGAGGTGTCTCCACCCGATGTACATACACCTATTACTGTGGTGTCTCCACCCGGTGTACATACACCTATTACTGAGGTGTCTCCACCCGGAGTACATACACCATATACACTATTACTGGTGTCTCCACCCGGATGTACATACACCTATTACTGAGGTGTCTCCACCCGATGTACATACACCTATTACTGTGGTGTCTCCACCCGGATGTACATGCACCTAGTACTGAGGTGTCTCCACCCGAGTACATACACCCTATTACTGAGGTGTCTCCACCCGGAGTACATACACCTATTACTGTGGTGTCTCCACCCGGTGTACATACACCTATTACTGTGGTGTCTCCACCCGATGTACATACACCTATTACTGAGGTGTCTCCACCCGGAGTACATACACCTATTACTGTGGTGTCTCCACCCGATGTACATACACCTATTACTGTGGTGTCTCCACCCGATGTACATACACCTATTACTGAGGTGTCTCCACCCGGTGTACATACACCTATTACTGAGGTGTCTCCACCCGGTGTACATACACCTATTACTGTGGTGTCTCCACCCGATGTACATACACCTATTACTGAGGTGTCTCCACCCGGAGTACATACACCTAGTACTGAGGTGTCTCCACCCGATGTACATACACCTATTACTGTGGTGTCTCCACCCGATGTACATACACCTATTACTGAGGTGTCTCCACCCGGTGTACATACACCTATTACTGAGGTGTCTCCACCCGATGTACATACACCTATTACTGAGGTGTCTCCACCCGGTGTACATACACCTATTACTGAGGTGTCTCCACCCGGAGTACATACACATATTACTGAGGTGTCTCCACCCGGTGTACATACACCTATTACTGAGGTGTCTCCACCCGGTGTACATACACCTATTACTGTGGTGTCTGCACATACCGTTGTACATACACCTATTACTGTGGTGTCTGCACCCGTTGTACATACACCTATTACTGAGGTGTCTCCACCCGGTGTACATACACCTATTACTGAGGTGTCTCCACCCAATGTACATACACCTATTACTGAGGTTACTGTCTCCACCCGATGTACATACACCTATTACTGTGGTGTCTCCACCCGGTGTACATACACCTATTACTGTACTGAGGTGTCTCCACCCGGAGTACATACACATAGTACTGAGGTATCTCCACCCGAGTACATACATACACCTATTACTGTGGTGTCTCCACCCGATGTACATACACCTATTACTGAGGTGTCTCCACCCGGTGTACATACACCTATTACTTCTGTGTCTCCACCCGATGTACATACACCTATTACTGTGGTGTCTCCACCCGGTGTACATACACCTATTACTGAGGTGTCTCCACCCGATGTACATACACCTATTACTGTGGTGTCTCCACCCGATGTACATACACCTATTACTGAGGTGTCTCCACCCGATGTACATACACCTATTACTGTGGTGTCTCCACCCGATGTACATACACCTATTACTGAGGTGTCTCCACCCGGAGTACATACACCTATTACTGTGGTGTCTCCACCCGGTGTACATACACCTATTACTGTGGTGTCTCCACCCGATGTACATACACCTATTACTGTGGTGTCTCCACCCGATGTACATACACCTATTACTGAGGTGTCTCCACCCGATGTACATACACCTATTACTGAGGTGTCTCCACCCGGTGTACATACACCTATTACTTCTGTGTCTCCACCCGATGTACATACACCTATTACTGAGGTGTCTCCACCCGGTTCCAGTACATACACCTATTACTGAGGTGTCTCCACCCGATGTACATACACCTATTACTGAGGTGTCTCCACCCGATGTACATACACTTATTACTGAGGTGTCTCTACCCGATGTACATACACCTATTACTGAGTTGTCGCCACCCGGAGTACATACACATAGTACTGTGGTGTCTCCACCCGAGTACATACACCTATTACTGAGGTGTCTCCACCCGATGTACATACACTTATTACTGAGGTGTCTCCACCCGATGTACATACACCTATTACTGAGGTGTCTCCACCCGGAGTACATACACCTATTACTGAGGTGTCTCCACCCGATGTACATACACCTATTACTGAGGTGTCTCCACCCGGTGTACATACACCTATTACTGAGGTGTCTCCACCCGGTGTACATACACCTATTACTGAGGTCTCTAGCTTGTGAACGGATATTGCTACTCTGTGCGAAATGCGCGTTATGTCGGAAGAGGCACTTTATATCTCCAAATCATCATCATCACGGATATTGCATTGGAAGGATGGTTTTGTTTTCTTCTAAATATAACAATAGAAATATAACACACCGAATAATTTTATTCATTCTATTTGTATAAGGTCTGTTAATGTGAAGGGACAAAGAGGTTGGTGGGTAGTTGTACAGAAAACAACTGTGGATAGCGAAACTTCTGACTGAACATTGTGATTGAACATTCTGACTGAACATTGTGATTGAACATTCTGACTGAACATTCTGACTGAACATTCTGATTGAACATTCTGACTGAACATTCTGATTGAATATTATGTTTGAATATTATGGATGCTTTTGCTTTCGTTGTATTGTAAAATTTAAATTTGAATTAATGTAATTCGAGTGATGGAACAAAGCACATCGATTCTGAATTGTTTTCAACATGATATATTTGAAGGAAAATGCCTCTCAAAGAAATTATATATTTGGTCCACTTTATCTTGAAATTCACCATAGGATGTTAGTCGTTCAAATCTGTCTTGTCGGTGTTTTTTAAAACACTGAATTAAATGCACTTTGTTTGAAGGTTTACCACACTCATAAGAAGTGCGTACCTGCGGCCGGCCGGAGAGGCTGTTACGCTCATGTACTGTGGAGATTCCGGGTTTATCTAGTTCAGCATGTTATCTCACGGTATAGCAGGGCATTGAGCTGACATTGTTCACGTTGTTTTAAACATGTCCGTATTGGTGGAATATTTGGGGATAATTTTCTTGTACACCTAATTAGTCGCGATACTGTTTCAAGGTTTCCTTGTATCTCATGTGTTTGGTTTGTTTCAGAATGACCAGCACCGCCACCAGTTGTCACGTGTTTCCTGGGTCCAGGGGCAGTAATCCGTCCATATCCGTCCATGGGTGGCCTATACCCCTGGTGGACTGTCTGTAATAAGTGCCCATGAGTATTACACTGTGTCTCCCTCAACTACAGGAATCTCCTGATGACTTTCACTGAACGACACTGCTCAGTATTACGGCTTGCAACACGTTGGGAACGTCACGTGATATATTTATTACACAAGCTTTTTCAACAGAAAGATGGCTATATATATATATATACCATTAAAAAGGAGGGGATATTGGATTTACAAGATTGATAAAATACAAATGATGAAGCCAAGGAGGAAACAGATGATGGAGAGAAATTAAGGGAAAATGTCACAATTTATTCCATTCCTTTGGACATGTTTCATCCGTATGGATATATATTACTTGTTCTCATATACATTGGTATTGGCTAGTGGTATGGTCGCAAAAAGGAATATCCCCTACTTGTTTTGAATGATATATAACGATAAAGCATTCCTTATTTGGTTGTATGCTCCAGCTCTATGCACATACTCCGTGCTTTGTCCAACAAAGCAGATTAGATAGTCCAGTTACTACACTGTACTCAGAAAAAAATAAAAAGTAGCCGCCTACAGATGTGTTCTTCATTAAACAATCGGGACCTGACCTAGCCTGACCTAGCCTGACCTAGGGTACTACAGCATGGACACCACAACTGCATACCACCGACTAAAACATCAGCAGCATGCATCTACCATCAGCATCAACGTACCATCGATGATGTTAGATGTAACACTGACAACACCATCGTCAACGGGTCACAAACCTCAGCTTCATCAACGGACACTGATAACACATTGATAACGTACCACTAAAACAACAATACCATCTGATAGGAATGACAGGTCTTTATAGATGATCAACTTCTGTATTGTGCAATGGCGACGTTTCGGTACAGATACTTATATCGTTGCCAAGCATCGAAAACGGTCTAAGTATCTATACCGAAACGTCGCTATTGCACAATAAAGAAGTTGATCATCTATAAAGACTTGTCAGTACTATTACTTACAACTTCTAGAATGCCTCTCAAACAGTTAATAGCATCTGACACTGAGAATACCATTGTTGTATCACCTGTTATAACAACAGCATCCACATAGCACTGACAACAGCAACCTCAGCGGACCACAGACAACAGCAGAGTCGTCGTAAGACACAGCGGCAGCATGAACAGAAGTGAGAGTATGCAAGATGAAGTCCAGTGGGCGATCCGGATTCCCAGGGAAGCTGTCGACATTTTACGGCCGCTTTCCACGCGTTCAATCTTGGTCGGCCTGCTTGCTGGCTCAAATTCAGTGGCACGCTGGTTTAATGCATGACGGCCACGGTCATCCATTGAGTTTGAACACAACGAGCATATTATATGTGCTAACTTCAACACGCGACAGCCATGTTGAGTCTTATCTCCATTGTAACATCCACATAGTTGACATTTCCATTTCATCGCTAGACTCTAACATTATAACTAATTTACATTTTTTGGTGTACATATTGAGCGGTATACCAAAACGCTGGTACCCAATAACCTAACGTCCCAAAGTACTAAATTTAAAAATATAAACTTGACACACGCGGGCATGAACCTGAGATGACCTTCATGTGACGTTCAAATCTAAAGCGCACGTAAAATCTCTTCCTGACAGGAACTAAATTGGTAAACGTTTTTCATTCGACGGGGGCGTCTGCAGCACTGTCTACCACAACGTCTACCCGACTCCAAGTAGACGCATAATCTTGTCTGTAGTTACTACCAACAGCCGTAAACCACCATACAACGACGCATTAAGCGTGCATCTCATACATAGCTGTAACCATGAGTACTGATATACTGTAAGTGAATCTGTCGAGTATCCCATAAACTCTGCACACGATAACTGTACACGAAAATGCAGATTATTTTGTTCGTCAATGGTAGAACCATTCAGCTGTGACTGTAGGCACGATAACAAAAATAAAACTTGCTTGGTATTATTTTACGTGGATCTTTTTACAGAATTCTTTGCTCTAATAAATAAGCTGTCAATGTAATGACAATGATTTCCCATGCTGAGTTTCAGTTTTGGAAGGATATTTTTATTCTGAACAGAAAGTATCCCATACTATGTTTAAAACTGAAACGTTAAAATACTTTGGATGTATTGGAAAACAGACACATGGCAGCCCTGACAAAACTAACATGCCTCTGAAGCTATGTAAAATATATATTGAAAAATATTGAAATAATATTGTATATCTCGTTGATTTATATCATTTATGTATAAACATTATTGACATATATATAACATCTGGGCAGCTTGTTGCTGTCTTCTCCAACTACTGCAGGACCGTCACTAGTGAGAATACATGTATGTTGGGGTGTGCTAGTGAGAATACATGTATGTTGGGGTGTGCTAGTGAGAATACATGTATGTTGGGGTGTGCTAGTGAGAATACATGTATGTTGGGGTGTGCTAGTGAGAATACATGTATGTTGGGGTGTGCTAGTGAGAATACATGTATGTTGGGGTGTGCTAGTGAGAATACATGTATGTTGGGGTGTGCTAGTGAGAATACATGTATGTTGCTAGTGAGAATACATGTATGTTGGGGTGTGCTAGTGAGAATACATGTATGTTGGGGTGTGCTAGTGAGAATACATGTATGTTGGGGCTAGTGCTAGTGAGAATACATGTATGTTGGGGGTGCTAGTGCTAGTGAGAATACATGTATGTTGGGGGTGTGCTAGTGAGAATACATGTATGTTGGGGGTGCTAGTGAGAATACATGTATGTTGAGAATACATGGGGTTGGGGGAGTGCTAGTGCTAGTGAGAGAATACATGTATGTTGGGGAGTGCTAGTGAGAATACATGTTGGGGGAGTGTAGTGGGGAATACATGTGCTAGTGAGAATACATGTATGTTAGGGGTATGCTAGTGAGAATACATGTATGTTGGGAGTGCTAGTAGTGAGAATACATGTATGTTGGGGAGTGCTAGTGAGAATACATGTATGTTGGGGAGTGCTAGTGAGAATACATGTATGTTGGGGAGTGCTAGTGAGAATACATGTATGTTGGGGTGTGCTAGTGAGAATACATGTATGAGAATACATGTATGGGGTGTGCTAGTGAGAATACATGTATGTTGGGGGTGCTAGTGAGAATACATGTATGTTGGGGGCTAGTGAGAATACATGTATGTTGGGGTGCTAGTGAGAATACATGTATGTTGGGAGAATGTGCTAGTGAGAATACATGTATGTTGGGGAGTGCTAGTGAGAATACATGTATGTTGGGGGTGCTAGTGAGTGAGAATACATGTATGTTGGGGGTGTGCTAGTGAGAATACATGTATATTTGGGGTGCTAGTGAGAATACATGTATGTTGGGGAGTGCTAGTGCTAGTGAGAATACATGTATGTTGGGGTGTGCTAGTGAGAATACATGTATGTTGGGGAGTGCTAGTGAGAATACATGTATGTTGGGGTGTGCTAGTGAGAATACATGTATGTTGGGGTGTGCTAGTGAGAATACATGTATGTTGGGGTGTGCTAGTGAGAATACATGTATGTTGGGGTGTGCTAGTGAGAATACATGTATGTTGGGGTGTGCTAGTGAGAATACATGTATGTTGGGGTGTGCTAGTGAGAATACATGTATGTTGGGGTGAGAATACATGCTAGTGAGAATACATGTATGTTGGGGGTGTGCTAGTGAGAATACATGTATGTTGGGAGTGCATGTATGTTGGGGAGTGCTAGTGAGAATACATGTATGTTGGGGTGTGCTAGTGAGAATACATGTATGTTGGGGAGTGCTAGTGAGAATACATGTATGTTGGGGTGTGCTAGTGAGAATACATGTATGTTGGGGTGCTAGTGAGAATACATGTATGTTGGGGAGTGCTAGTTGGGGTATGTGTGCTAGTGAGAATACATGTATGTTGGGGAGTGCTAGTGAGAATACATGTATGTTGGGGAGTGCTAGTGAGAATACATGTATGTTGGGGTGTGCTAGTGAGAATACATGTATGTTGGGGTGTGCTAGTGAGAATACATGTATGTTGGGGTGTGCTAGTGAGAATACATGTATGTTGGGACTGCTCTCCGCACGGCCTTGTTTAGATGTATGTTGGGGAATGCCATCCTTCCAGGTGATTGTTCGTGCGAGTTCCAGCAGTGGTGTGGTGGTTCCATATCCCCAGCCTGAATTTAGCATTATCATCTACCCAGGTCGTTGTGATGTAGTCATGGAAAACGTATAACTGTGGCGTATCCAGCTCTTGTAGCAGGCGTAGACGGTCGCTGGTGGCAAAGTAGAGGATCTTTTCGTCAATTGAGCCAAATTAAACTGTCAGAACATCCTAGAAATTTTGATTGAAGCTGGTGCTCAAGTGAACTTCGACAAAATCGCTGTTACTGACGACGGAGTCATCACCCCGATACATTATGCTGTCGTTAATGGAAATTATGACATGGTGAAGTATTTGATAGATCATGGGGCAAGTTATATAACAGAACTGCCTTTAAATGTGAGAAGCTATCGTATTCCAGGTGCAGTGGCCTTGAGGTACTATGGATCCCTGATTGAACTGGCTTGTCAGAACAACCAGCTGGAGATACTGGTCCTGTTGATCAACACCTATGAGAGTGACATCACATTTCTGTGCAAGCACTATGCTCTGCTGTGGAGTTGTCAGATGGAACACAAAGAGTGTCTGGACATTTTGTTGCTACGTTTATACAACACTGAGTGTGAACTCAATAATGCACATTTAACACAGAATCACCAGCAAATTCTCAGAATAGCTCTGCGTCAAAATTCAGAGGAAGGGCATCACCATAATTTGTACCACATAACTTCATAGCAAATATTTCATAGTAAGTGACCATTCATAAGTTATGGCTGGTGTGTGTGTGCGCGCGCGCGCGTGTGTGTGTTAATGGTGATTTTAGGGGGGGGGGCACCCACTTTGTACTGGGGAGGTAGGGGGGTCATCAATTTGTACACATGTACTGAAGATACATTTCACTATAATATTGGCCTTTGCTCTTCTCAGATTTGTAGTGAAAACATTGATCATCTATTCTAAGATGCCTAGAGGTTAGAACAATCGAAAAAAAAATACATTATCAGACAATAAAGGTATAGTTTTATATTAGACCTATAACCCGGCAGTCATTTGTACAGGAAATGAACAAGAGAAAGTACACAACGTTGTGGAGAACAAGTGACTGTGAGGATACCTGAATGAGAGTGCGATCAATAGCAACGCGCCGAAGACTGAAAACCTTGGTAACCAGTAAACATATTAGATCATCCATTTGGCATACTGCGACAACAGTGTCATAGATAGCATTGACCGGGAACCAGACGGACTGGTACACTGCCACTATCCGAATGCACTGCTTGCGCACCAGGACAAGTAAGCCAGTCTAATCACAAACGGGAAAGAAATATAGAGTGACCTCCCTTTCAGCACTCTTTTGTACTGGAAGAACGGTTTACTGGTAGAACGGGGAGCCGAAATTCTACAAATAGTTATGACGCCGTTTTCACAGTAGCTTTTAATTGCCATGGACGACTCGCATCTACTCCACGTCGCATCAAGCTTCGGCGAGAAGGAGGAGGTGTTGAAATTGATCCGGGCGGGACATGATATCAACGCCGTGGACGAACACAAACGCACACCTGTCACGGTAGCATGTGAACAAGGGCATTACGACATAGTCAACGTCTTAATAGACGCAGGGTGTGATTTAAACTGTTCCACTGTCCGCGAAAGTGATGTTTCCGTGGAAACCCGAAACAGAGCACGATTGTCAGTAGACGATGCTGTACTCCGCCGTGCGAGTGAAGCGGATGAGTCTCTGTCAGGGGAGGCAACTCTGGCTTCTGTGACCGTCTACCCGCCTTTACATGCAGCAGTATCAGCTGAAAATGAGACTATTGTGAAGGCTTTAATAAACTCAGGGAGGGTTGACGTAAACTGTATGTATTTGAAACAAACGCCATTGATTATTGCAGCCAAATTAAACTGTCAGAATATCGTAGAAATTTTGACTGAAGCTGGTGCTCAAGTGAACTTCGACAAAATCGCTGTTACTGACGACGGAGTCATCACCCCGATACATTATGCTGTCGTTAATGGAAATTATGACATGGTGAAGTATTTGATAGATCATGGGGCAAGTTATATAACAGAACTGCCTTTAAATGTGAGAAGCTATCGTATTCCAGGTGCAGTGGCCTTGAGGTACTATGGATCCCTGATTGAACTGGCTTGTCAGAACAACCAGCTGGAGATACTGGTCCTGTTGATCAACACCTATGAGAGTGACATCACATTTCTGTGCAAGCACTATGCCTTGCTGTGGAGTTGTCAGATGGAACACAAAGAGTGTCTGGACATTTTATTGCTACGTTTATACAACACTGAGTGTGAACTCAATAATGCACATTTAGCACAGAATCACCAGCAAATTCTCAGAATAGCTCTGCGTCAAAATTCAGGGAAAGATGAAGTTATTCCACTCCGTCTTCTGGAACATTTTGGTCCAAAAATGTTTACAGACTCGACAAGCTATTACACTACTCTGTACATTGGTGTATTAAGAGTTTTTCCAAAGTTTGTTAAGGCAATGCTTGTCTTTCATGAAAAATTCCCAAAGACAGAGGATGAAGATTCTGTGATGGATATCTGCTATTCAGCACTAAATGGGGTCAACTTGTCAATCCTGAAGGACCTATATGAAGTTGGACTAATAGATGTAAAGTACATTGACCAAACTGGAGAGAATGCAGCTTTCAATGTGGTCCAGAGTAGCAGAAGTACAGAAATAGATGTAAGTTTGTCACTGGAATAATAGTATGTGATGTCAGTAGACTCCCAGGTATGGCATCAGACACCTGCAGTGATCAGTTTGGTCTGTGTGCTTGCAGCATATGTGCAGTGAATTCTGAAATGACACATAGAAAATCTGATGGTGTGCATTAACTGCTATTGTCACTATGACTATTGTATTACCCATATTCTAAGGGTGACAGCTGGGGCTAGTCTAAGGGTGACAACTGGGGCTATTCTAAGGGTGACAGCTGGGGCTATTCTAAGGGGACAGTTGGGGCTATTCTAAGGGTGACAGTTGGGGCTATTCTAAGGGTGACAGTTGGGGCTAGTCTAAGGGTGACAGCTGGGGCTATTCTAAGGGTCACAGTTGGGGCTATTCTTAGAATGACAGCTGGGGCTATTCTAAGGGTGACAGTTGGGGCTATTCAAAGGGTGACAGTTGGGGCTATTCTAAAGGTGACAGCTGGGGCTAGTCTAAGGGTGACAGTTGGGGCTATTCTAAGGGTGACAGTTGGGGCTATTCTAAGGGTCACAGTTGGGGCTATTCTAAGGGTGACAGTTGGGGCTATTCTAAGGGTGACAGCTGGGGCTAGTCTAAGGGTGACAGCTGGGGCTAGTCTAAGGGTGACAGTTGGGGCTATTCTAAGGGTGACAGCTGAGGCTTGTCTAAGGGTGACAGTTGGGGCTATTCTAAGGGTGACAGTTGGGGTTATTCTAAGGGTGACAGCTGGGGCTAGTCTAAGGGTGACAGTTGGGGCTATTCTAAGGGTGACAGCTGGGGCTAATCTAAGGGTGACAGCTGGGGCTATTCTAAGGGTGACAGTTGGGGCTAGTCTAAGGGTCACAGTTGGGGCTATTCTAATGGTGACAGCTGGGGCTATTCTACGGGTGACAGTTGGGGCTAGCCTAAGGGTGACAGCTGGGGCTAGTCTAAGGGTGACAGTTGGGGCTATTCTAAGGGTGACAGTTGGGCTATTCTAAGGGTGACAGTTGGGGCTAGTCTAAGGGTGACAGTTTGGGCTATTCTAAGGGTGACAGCTGGGGCTATTCTAAGGGTGACAGCTGGGGCTAGTCTAAGGGTGACAGCTGGGGTTATTCTAAGGGTGACAGCTGGGGCTATTCTAAGGGTGACAGCTGGAGCTATTCTAAGGGTGACAGTTGGCAGTGTTTGAAATAAGCCAAAAATCCAGCCAGACGTCAGGGCTGGTAACTTCAAAATGTTACCAGCTCAAAATGGATTCAACCAGACCAGACACCAAGATATGGTGAATTTGCTCAGATGTATCGAACATCTAAAGATTTTACCAGACCATCGGGCTGGCTAACTGTAATTTTAGACCGTCCGTCAGAAATCTAGACCGTATGACTCTAGTTCGGTCGGACGGGCCTTGTTTCATAGTACAGTGCACCCTGGTTATAATGCTACCCTGAATATAATGCCATGTTTTTGACAGAACGGTTTCCTGCCCATATAATACCCTGGTTATGATGCCAAACGGATATAATGCCATATGCCAATGGTTTTTGTGAAAGTCATTTTCCCCTGGTTATAATGCCAATTACACTGGCTGCATGTAGTATACATACCGTAATTGGTTAATTGACATGACTCAAATTTATTGACCAAACCCATTAATGCTATAAGTAGTCATGTAATCCCAGATAAGATAAACCATGTGAAAATACACTTCCTGCCACCCACAGCAAGCAGTGACCTGCAGCCCCTAGACGCTGGGATTGTCCAGTCATTTAAGGCTCATTACAGGAGACATCAGCTCAATCACCTTGTTCATTGCATAGGGCCGCTAACTGGCCTACCTGGTTATAATGCCACCCTGGATATAATGCCATGTTGTCTCCTGGACAAACGGTGGCATTATTACCAGGGCATACTGTATAATATACACTGCAGTTGGGGCTATTGTCACTATGGTATTACCCATACTCTAAGGGTGACAGTTGGGACTATTTTCACTATGGTATTACCCATACTCTAAGGGTGACAGTTGGGACTAGTTTCACTATGGTATTACCCATACTCTAAGGTTGACAGTTGGGGCTATTTTCACTATGGTATTACCCATACTCTAAGGGTGACAGTTGGGACTAGTTTCACTATGGTATTACCCATACTCTAAGGGTGACAGTTGGGACTAGTTTCACTATGGTATTACCCATACTCTAAGGGTGACAGTTGGGACTAGTTTCACTATGGTATTACCCATACTCTAAGGGTGACAGTTGGGACTAGTTTCACTATGGTATTACCCATACTCTAAGGGTGACAGTTAGGACTAGTTTCACTATGGTATTACCCATACTCTAAGGGTGACAGTTGGGGCTATTGTCACTATGGTATTACCCATACTCTAAGGGTGACAGTTGGGACTAGTTTCACTATGGTATTACCCATACTCTAAGGTTGACAGTTGGGGCTAGTTTCACTATGGTATTACCCATACTCTAAGGGTGACAGTTGGGACTAGTTTCACTATGGTATTACCCATACTCTAAGGGTGACAGTTGGGACTAGTTTCACTATGGTATTACCCATACTCTAAGGGTGACAGTTGGGACTATTTTCACTATGGTATTACCCATACTCTAAGGGTGACAGTTGGGACTATTTTCACTATGGTATTACCCATACTCTAAGGGTGACAGTTGGGACTAGTTTCACTATGGTATTACCCATACTCTAAGGGTGACAGTTGGGACTAGTTTCACTATGGTATTACCCATACTCTAAGGGTGACAGTTGGGACTATTTTCACTATGGTATTACCCATACTCTAAGGGTGACAGTTGGGACTAGTTTCACTATGGTATTACCCATACTCTAAGGGTGACAGTTGGGACTAGTTTCACTATAAGGTATTACCCATACTCTAAAGGGTGACAGTTGGGACTAGTTTCACTATGGTATTACCCATACTCTACTGGTGACAGTTGGGACTATTTTCACTATGGTATTACCCATACTCTACTGGTGACAGTTGGGACTAGTTTCACTATGGTATTACCCATACTCTAAGGGTGACAGTTGGGACTATTTTCACTATGGTATTACCCATACTCTACTGGTGACAGTTGGGACTAGTTTCACTATGGTATTACCCATACTCTAAGGGTGACAGTTGGGACTATTTTCACTATGGTATTACCCATACTCTACTGGTGACAGTTGGGGCTATTTTCACTATGGTATTACCCATACTCTACTGGTGACAGTTGGGACTATTTTCACTATGGTATTACCCATACTCTACTGGTGACAGTTGGGACTAGTTTCACTATGGTATTACCCATACTCTAAGGGTGACAGTTGGGACTAGTTTCAGTATGGTATTACCCATACTCTACTGGTGACAGTTGGGACTAGTTTCACTATGGTATTACCCATACTCTAAGGGTGACAGTTGGGGCTATTTTCACTATGGTATTACCCATACTGTAAGGGTGACAGTTGGGACTATTTTCACTATGGTATTACCCATACTCTAAGGTTGACAGTTGGGGCTATTTTCACTATGGTATTACCCATACTCTACTGGTGACAGTTGGGACTAGTTTCACTATGGTATTACCCATACTCTAAGGGTGACAGTTGGGACTATTTTCACTATGGTATTACCCATACTCTAAGGGTGACAGTTGGGACTAGTTTCACTATGGTATTACCCATACTCTAAGGGTGACAGTTGGGACTAGTTTCACTATGGTATTACCCATACTCTAAGGTTGACAGTTGGGGCTATTTTCACTATGGTATTACCCATACTCTAAGGGTGACAGTTGGGGCTATTTTCACTATGGTATTACCCATACTCTAAGGGTGACAGTTGGGACTAGTTTCACTATGGTATTACCCATACTCTACTGGTGACAGTTGGGACTAGTTTCACTATGGTATTACCCATACTCTACTGGTGACAGTTGGGACTAGTTTCACTATGGTATTACCCATACTCTACTGGTGACAGTTGGGACTAGTTTCACTATGGTATTACCCATACTCTAAGGTTGACAGTTAGGACTAGTTTCACTATGGTATTACCCATACTCTACTGGTGACAGTTGGGACAAGTTTCACTATGGTATTACCCATACTCTAAGGGTGACAGTTGGGACTAGTTTCACTATGGTATTACCCATACTCTAAGGGTGACAGTTGGGACTATTTTCACTATGGTATTACCCATACTCTACTGGTGACAGTTGGGACTATTTTCACTATGGTATTACCCATACTCTAAGGGTGACAGTTGGGACTATTTTCACTATGGTATTACCCATACTCTACTGGTGACAGTTGGGACTAGTTTCACTATGGTATTACCCATACTCTAAGGGTGACAGTTAGGACTAGTTTCACTATGGTATTACCCATACTCTACTGGTGACAGTTGGGACTAGTTTCACTATGGTATTACCCATACTCTACTGGTGACAGTTAGGACTAGTTTCACTATGGTATTACCCATATTCTACTGGTGACAGTTGGGACTATTTTCACTATGGTGTTACCCATACTCTACTGGTGACAGTTGTCACTAGTTTCACTATGGTATTACCCATACTCTACTGGTGACAGTTGGGACTAGTTTCACTATGGTATTACCCATACTCTACTGGTGACAGTTGTCACTAGTTTCACTATGGTATTACCCATACTCTACTGGTGACAGTTGGGACTAGTTTCACTATGGTATTACCCATACTCTAAGGGTGACAGTTGGGACTAGTTTCACTATGGTATTACCCATACTCTAAGGGTGACAGTTGGGACTAGTTTCACTATGGTATTACCCATACTCTACTGGTGACAGTTGGGACTAGTTTCACTATGGTATTACCCATACTCTACTGGTGACAGTTGGGACTAGTTTCACTATGGTATTACCCATACTCTACTGGTGACAGTTGGGACTAGTTTCACTATGGTATTACCCATACTCTAAGGGTGACAGTTGGGACTAGTTTCACTATGGTATTACCCAGACTCTACTGGTGACAGTTGGGACAAGTTTCACTATGGTATTACCCATACTCTACTGGTGACAGTTGGGACTAGTTTCACTATGGTATTACCCATACTCTACTGGTGACAGTTGGGACTATTTTCACTATGGTATTACCCATACTCTACTGGTGACAGTTGGGGCTATTTTCACTATGGTATTACCCATACTCTACTGGTGACAGTTGGGACTATTTTCACTATGGTATTACCCATACCTCTACTGGGTGACAGTTGGGACTATTTTCACTATGGTATTACCCATACTCTAAGGGTGACAGTTGGGACTATTTTCACTATGGTATTACCCATACTCTAAGGGTGACAGTTGGGACTAGTTTCACTATGGTATTACCCATACTCTACTGGTGACAGTTGGGACTAGTTTCACTATGGTATTACCCATACTCTACTGGTGACAGTTGGGAGTAGTTTCACTATGGTATTACCCATACTCTACTGGTGACAGTTGTCACTAGTTTCACTGTGGTATTACCCATACTCTACTGGTGACAGTTGGGACTAGTTTCACTATGGTATTACCCATACTCTAAGGGTGACAGTTAGGACTAGTTTCACTATGGTATTACCCATACTCTACTGGTGACAGTTGGGACTAGTTTCACTATGGTATTACCCATACTCTACTGGTGACAGTTGTCACTAGTTTCACTGTGGTATTACCCATACTCTACTGGTGACAGTTGGGACTAGTTTCACTATGGTATTACCCATACTCTACTGGTGACAGTTGGGACAAGTTTCACTATGGTATTACCCATACTCTAAGGGTGACAGTTGGGACTAGTTTCACTATGGTATTACCCATACTCTAAGGGTGACAGTTGGGACTATTTTCACTATGGTATTACCCATACTCTACTGGTGACAGTTGGGACTATTTTCACTATGGTATTACCCATACTCTAAGGGTGACAGTTGGGACTAGTTTCACTATGGTATTACCCATACTCTACTGGTGACAGTTGGGACTATTTTCACTATGGTATTACCCATACTCTACTGGTGACAGTTGGGACTAGTTTCACTATGGTATTACCCATACTCTACTGGTGACAGTTGGGACTAGTTTCACTATGGTATTACCCATACTCTACTGGTGACAGTTGGGACTAGTTTCACTATGGTATTACCCATATTCTACTGGTGACAGTTGGGACTATTTTCACTATGGTATTACCCATACTCTACTGGTGACAGTTGTCACTAGTTTCACTATGGTATTACCCATACTCTACTGGTGACAGTTGGGACTAGTTTCACTATGGTATTACCCATACTCTACTGGTGACAGTTGTCACTAGTTTCACTATGGTATTACCCATACTCTACTGGTGACAGTTAGGACTAGTTTCACTATGGTATTACCCATACTCTACTGGTGACAGTTGGGACTAGTTTCACTATGGTATTACCCAGACTCTACTGGTGACAGTTGGGACAAGTTTCACTATGGTATTACCCATACTCTACTGGTGACAGTTGGGACTAGTTTCACTATGGTATTACCCATACTCTACTGGTGACAGTTGGGACTATTTTCACTATGGTATTACCCATACTCTACTGGTGACAGTTGGGGCTATTTTCACTATGGTATTACCCATACTCTACTGGTGACAGTTGGGACTATTTTCACTATGGTATTACCCATACTCTACTGGTGACAGTTGGGACTATTTTCACTATGGTATTACCCATACTCTAAGGGTGACAGTTGGGACTATTTTCACTGCTGCAATTGTATTGATCAAACTTTCAGAACCTGTTTTTCATGATAACATAAACATATTATTTTTAACGGTGTAGTTCCTAGGTTTTGCAAAATATGGGCCCAAGTGCCCCTACATGTACAATTTTAATGGACACCAGAAATTTAAGAGGGTCCTGAAAATTTCAATACATGGAAAATGGAAAAGAAAACATAATAAATGTTTAATTATCAACTTTGAAAGGTTGAACATGCTCAAAATTCAAACAAGTCACCAGAATTTTTGTCGGTGACTTGTCGACTGATGGTAATGTTTCTTTATTTGAAGGTGTGTTTCTGTCATCAGTTATGTTTTGATCACCCCCATTTCCCCCCAAACATGTTAATCACATCTGCTGTTTGGTCGTCCTGCTCTCTTTCATGCTTGACGAACATGTGTAAGCTAAATATATAACAAACTGTTTCATTGGTTGATGAATAGTATCCACTGGGAAACTGGCACATGTATATGCAACAACAAATTCGATTAGCCAAGGGATAATCCATTCAAAATGGCGGCATAAACATTGTGTTGTTAGTTTGTCTGGTATTGCAGATGAAAAATAAGTTTAATCACGTCATTTTAATAAAGAGATAACTTTCTATGACGGCATGTTTCTTTAGAAATAGGACGCGTCGTTAGGTACGCACTGTAAGAAATTTCATGTGCCATGTGAAAAATTATTGTGTATTCTCACAAGCCCACGCACGGCACAACACTGAATTTTGATCATTTCATATTTTTTTATCTAACCATAATACTAGCAGGAAAGAGAAAACTTTTTCCTTTTAGTTCAGGAGTCACTAAGTGATGAAACCTTTCAGTTTTTAAATTTGAAGTGCACACTCGGAAATGGACAACCATACAGAATGGGACCGGTCGGTATTACCAGTGTACAGCAATATGCATTTCAAACAATACATGCATTTATTTTCTTGGTCTTAGTACATCGAGAAGAATGGATCTGCATGTCCAGCCACTGTTGTTCACTGTCAAACACTTTGCCCATCTATATACCACAATACACATGTCAATAGTGTCATGAGCAGCATTATATTTTGTGCAACAATGTTCATAATGTTATAATGTTGTACCTGTGGAGTTAGTGAGGGGCAGTGTTATGTGTTGTACCTGTGGAGTCAGTGAGGGGCAGTGTTATGTGTTGTACCTGTGGAGTCAGTGAGGGGCAGTGTTATGTGTTGTACCTGTGGAGTCAGTGAGGGGGGGCAGTGTTATGTGTTGTACCTGTGGAGTCAGTGAGGGGCAGTGTTATGTGTTGTACCTGTGGAGTCAGTGAGGGGCAGTGTTATGTGTTGTACCTGTGGAGTCAGTGAGGGGCAGTGTTATGTGTTGTACCTGTGGAGTCAGTGAGGGGCAGTGTTATGTGTTGTACCTGTGGAGTCAGTGAGGGGCAGTGTTATGTGTTGTACCTGTGGAGTCAGTGAGGGGCAGTGTTATGTGTTGTACCTGTGGAGTCAGTGAGGGGCAGTGTTATGTGTTGTACCTGGTGGAGTCAGTGAGGGGCAGTGTTATGTGTTGTACCTGTGGAGTCAGTGAGGGGCAGTGTTATGTGTTGTACCTGTGGAGTCAGTGAGGGGCAGTGTTATGTGTTGTACTTGTGGAGTTAGTGAGGGGTACTGGTGTGCTATATTTAGACTTGGGCTACATACAGTTCTGTGCAGGAAAAATTTGTCAACTAGTTCAAAAACTAATCTGCAATATGTTCTTGCCTTGCAGGAGCTGGTACAGTGGCTGTCAGATTTAGGTGTTGACTTCACCAAGAAGAACAACAAGGGCTTGGAGCCAATCCACACAGCTGTCGGTGCACGCACATACAAGACCATCGCCGCCTTAGTGCGTCAGGGAGTCAACATTGACTCAAAGACAAGTGATGGCCAGACACCACTCCACCTGGCCCTCAACACAGGCTGGGAGTTGGAACGGTCAATTGTGAAGACATTATTAGATGCAGGGGCTGACCCATGCATCCAAGACAACCAAGGTCGAACACCGGTCACCATGTTTGTTTTGTCCTATTTTAACACGTTTCATACAGGACAGACATGGTGCATGGAGAAGCCAAATGGCTGGAGGTGGGCGCTGGACCTGCTTGTGGGGAAACTGGGCTGCTTCCTGTATAATGTACATGTCATAGGTTTTGTGGAACACAGTGACTGGCGGAAGTTGTGGGAGGCTGTGGATGAGGAGCATCGATTGTTGCTGCAGTCGTTCCCGTCACTGCAGACACTGTGCTGGAGCAGGCTTCGGCGAACTCTAGGGGGAATCCGATTCTGTGACAAGGTGGATCAACTACCTCTTCCTCAACCAATGAAAATATTCCTGAAGACATTTTGAAGGGATCTTCAGATTATAGCATCAAATAAGCCATCCAACTGATGAGGTTTTCACAGGGTTTACTGTGTCCTCATCTCATGATAACTGTATGTATCATGATGCTAACTTGTATTTTCAGATTGCTTGTGTAATTTCAGGGATAATTTTGAGTTTGAATGTTGGAACCTGTGTACATGACATTCTGTGGAGTGAGCCATAAAGGTGTTCCCATGATATGATGGGCCACGGATCTTTTATGTTGGTCTCTGCACAATAGCAGCAGCACACAGTTTTGTATATAGATAGCTGATGTAAGCAGCAAGAACATAATGCTACTGCCAGTATGTATCCCAAATGTCACCTCGTCAGAGATAACTGATGCAAGAATCTGCTTGTGATGTATGTGTCTGCATGGAGCAATAGTCATGTATTCTGGAATCGGTCAGGACAACTTGCCATTTAGACAACTCAAAAGAAGTTCTGTGATATTAGGGATTCTGTCATGCCATGCTTTTGTGTAATATAGTAAGTGATGTTCATCATGTTGCTGTGGGGGAGGCGGTGTAGCCTAGTGGTTAAAGCATTCGCTTGTCATGCCGAAGACCCAGGTTCGATTCCCCACATGGGTACTATGTGTGAAGCCCATTTCTGGTGTCCCCGCTGTGATATTGCCGGAATATTGCTAAAAGCAGTGTAAAACCATACTCACTCACTCATGTGGCAATAACACAATGAGTGGTCATGGTCTGGGGAAGAAGGTGGATTAAGAAGGAAGGCCAACAAGGATGTTGTACCTCCAGGTACAGGCTTCAGCTCCTGCTGTCATTGTGGTCACTGTGGTCACTGGTTGTAAGTTCCACGAGGTTTGCTTGCATGTCACAGTCAGTTACTACCAGGTAATCACAACAATCAAAAGTTTGTCAATGATGAGGCATTCTAGAGAATGATAACAACTTCGTAGTTGGTGCATGTAGATGCTTGTATTTCGATGTAGATTCTTACACTGTTTTCAGGCTAAAGTGACTCAGCCAACTGATGAGATGTGTGTATGCAGGGTAGGATCTGACCGGCAGGAGATTAACAACAACAGGCACTGGAGCACATAATTCCATGGCCAAGTGTTGAATGCAAACCACTAGCCCCAGTGAGGAAGCCAAAATACAACAGGATTAAAATGTAAACATGCTGAATGAATACTAACTAAACAGCTGATTTGAGTCTGTTACTTGATTGACACTTCATAGCCAGGTACCTGTGAAGGTCCCGGTTAGAATTGATCATCAGTAACCCAGGCTTGTCTCCCAGTGAAGATCCGGGTTAGAATTGATCATCAGTAACCCAGGCTTGTCTCCGAGCGAAGATCCAGGTTAGAATTGGTCGTCAGTAACCCACTCTTGTTGTAAGAGGCAACTAACGGGATCGGGTGGTCACATGTCATCGTAACCAGTTATGTAGATTAATGCTCTTACTGTTGATCACTGGATTGTCTGGTACAGACTTGATTATTTACAGACCACCACCAGATAGCTGGAATATTGCAGAGTGTTGCGTAAAACAACAAACCAAACCAAACCACAATCATAGCCATCTGGTATGTAGAACCTTCACTGGCTCCCCGTCCCTCAAGACCATCCTGCAGCAAGCAACTGCTAATAGAGTGATCTGTAGTATACACTGTGACTGCCGAGACTTGCATTGGTGAAACCACCCGGCACATAGATACCTGCATTAAAGAACATAATACTAACTTAATACTAACTTCAACCAAAGCAGATTGTAAATCAGCTCTCTCAAACCTCAAGCAAGAGTTCCTCCCACCATCAAGTTCAGTTTAGCAAAGTTTAGATCATCCTCTTGCACCAATCGTCAGGACATCACAAAGAGAAAACCTGGAAGCCACTGAAATCTGCCCTGCCACCACAAATCAGCAGGGATTTTATTCGTGACCAGTTTTAACTACCTGTTGTCCATATTTTCCCACTTGTTACAACCTATTATGCATAGATACCTCTCATTAGTTGGTTGTAGTCACTATAGCTTGATAATAGTTTAAGAATCTACATCAAAACCTTCCTCAATGCAATGAACAAGAAGATATCCTTCAAGATATATGCATCGTTAGCCATGATGATGACACAAATTAATATGTTATTTTACATCACCACATGTTGGTCTAATTTATGTCATCCAATGTGACTTCAGACATACATGCATGATGTACAGTTGAGCATATCTACAAAACTGGTGCAAGATTGCTGATTCTTCATTGAGCACTCACTTCACGATATCACAGGCACGAGTACGGTTGTTTTTCCCTAATGTCAGACAAATTAACTTTGAGTGAGATCTGTTCACTGATTTTCCATCTGCAATGTTGAATGTATTGCATCTTTTATCATTCATTTTAGGAGATCTTTTGTTGATGTATGTTGCTTGCGTTGGCATTGTTATTAGTTATAAAGCTAACATGTATTGCAGCTGAGTTTTCTGTGGACAAGTTTATTGAAGGTGATGAATGATTAGTTTATTGACTTTGCCAATGGCAGCTGATCATGTTGAGTTAAGAGAGAGTCCACCGACAGTCCGTGGCAATTGGCTTGCCTTGTTGTACCCCGCCGCAACGCGGAACGGGGGACTATGTATTCAGCGGCGTCCGTCCGTCCCGATTCCTGTTAACGCGATATCTCATGAACTGTTGCACCCAATGTCTTCAAATTTGGTGACAGCCTACATTGGGGTATTATGCAGACACCAGTCGATTTGGGTGACCTTGACCTTATTTTCAAGGTCACCACGACACTGACCACTTTTCAAACTGTTGTTAACGTGATATCTCATGCACTGTTGTACCAAGTGTCTTCAAATTTGGTGACAGCCTACATTGGGGGATTACGCAGACACCAGTTTATTTAGGTGACCTTGACCTTATTTTCAAGGTCACCACGACACTTTTCACACTTTTAACTCTTGTTAACTCTTGTTAATGCGATTTCTCATGAACTGTTGCACCCAATGTCTTGAAATTTGGTGACAGCCTACATTAGGGGATTACAAAGACACCAGACGATTTGGGTGACCTTGACCTTATTTTCAAGGTCACCACGACACTGACCACTTTTCAAACTGTTGTTAACGTGATATCTCATGCACTGTTGTGACCAGTGTCTTCAAATTTGGTGACAGCCTACATTGGGGGATTGCGCAGACACCACTGTATTTAGGTGACCTTGACCTTATTTTCAAGGTCACCACGGCACTTTGAACACTTTATAAACTCTTCTTAACACAGCATCTCATCGACTGTTGTACCCAATGTCATCAAATTTGGTGACAGTTTACATTGGGGGATTATGCAGACACCAGTTGATTTTGTGTGACCTTGACCTTATTTTCAAGGTCACCGCGATACTTTGACCGCTTTTTAAAGGCGATATCTCATAAAACATTGCACCCAATGTTTTCAAGTATGTTGAGAGCCTACATTGGGTGATTATGCAGACACCAGTCATTTCAGGCATCTTGTATGTGACCCAAAAATAAAAAGTAGTAAATATAGATATTCCATTCTTTAGCGGCGGGGGACATTGCCACATCAGTGGCAAACACTTGTTGGGATCTGATGGCAGTTGGTTGAATTCCAAAATAGGATTTCTAAAATCCTTGTTCTGCCATCCCTGGACCTAAGAGCCTGATGGTCTGGTGTTCTGCTTTGCAATAGCGAGAAGCTGACACGTCAGACTGTTTTTATACTGTTTATTGGGTATGGAGGTCAAGGCCAGAAGATGACACCTCAGACAGTTGTTATACTGTTTATCGGGTATGGGTCTCAAGGTCAAAAGCTGACAGGACAGATAGTAGCTATACTGTTTATAGGGTATGGGGGTCAAGGCCAGAAGCTGACGCCTCAGACGTTTGTTATACTGTTCATTGGGTATGGAGGTCAAGGCCAGAAGATGACACCTCAGACGCTTCTTATACTGTTTATTGGGTATGGAGGTCAAGGCCAGAAGATGACACCTCAGACATTTGTTATACTGTTTAACGGGTATGGAGGTCAAGGCCAGAAGATGACACCTCAGACGTTTGTTATACTGTTCATTGGGTATGGAGGTCAAGGCCAGAAGATGACACCTCAGACGTTTGTTATACTGTTTATTGGGTATGGAGGTCAAGGCCAGAAGATGACACCTCAGACGTTTGTTATACTGTTTATTGGGTATGGAGGTCAAGGCCAGAAGATGACACCTCAGACATTTGTTATACTGTTTATTGGGTATGGAGGTCAAGGCCAGAAGATGACACCTCAGACATTTGTTATACTGTTTATTGGGTATGGAGGTCAAGGCCAGAAGCTGACACCTCAGACGTTTGTTATACTGTTTATTGGGTATGGAGGTCAAGGCCAGAAGTATGGAGGAAGCTGACACCTCAGCCAGAAGATGACACCTCAGACGTTTGTTATACTGTTTATTGGGTATGGAGGTCAAGGCCAGAAGCTGACACCTCAGACGTTTGTTATACTGTTTATTGGGTATGGAGGTCAAGGCCAGAAGATGACACCTCAGACGTTTGTTATACTGTTTATTGGGTATGGAGGTCAAGGCCAGAAGCTGACACCTCAGACGTTTGTTATACTGTTTATTGGGTATGGAGGTCAAGGCCAGAAGCTGACACCTCAGACGTTTGTTATACTGTTTATTGGGTATGGAGGTCAAGGCCAGAAGCTGACACCTCAGACGTTTGTTATACTGTTTATTGGGTATGGAGGTCAAGGCCAGAAGCTGACACCTCAGACGTTTGTTATACTGTTTATTGGGTATGGAGGTCAAGGCCAGAAGATGACACCTCAGACGTTTGTTATACTGTTTATTGGGTATGGAGGTCAAGGCCAGAAGATGACACCTCAGACGTTTGTTATACTGTTTATTGGGTATGGAGGTCAAGGCCAGAAGATGACACCTCAGACGTTTTGTTATACTGTTTATTGGGTATGGAGGTCAAGGCCAGAAGATGACACCTCAGACGTTTGTTATACTGTTTATTGGGTATGGAGGTCAAGGCCAGAAGATGACACCTCAGACGTTTGTTATACTGTTTATTGGGTATGGAGGTCAAGGCCAGAAGATGACACCTCAGACGTTTGTTATACTGTTTATTGGGTATGGAGGTCAAGGCCAGAAGATGACACCTCAGACGTTTGTTATATATTGTTTATTGGGTGGAGGTCAAGGCCAGAAGATGACACCTCAGACGTTTGTTATACTGTTTATTGGGTATGGAGGTCAAGGCCAGAAGATGACACCTCAGACGTTTGTTATACTGTTTATTGGGTATGGAGGTCAAGGCCAGAAGATGACACCTCAGACGTTTGTTATACTGTTTATTGGGTATGGAGGTCAAGGCCAGAAGATGACACCTCAGACGTTTGTTATACTGTTTATTGGGTATGGAGGTCAAGGCCAGAAGATGACACCTCAGACGTTTGTTATACTGTTTATTGGGTATGGAGGTCAAGGCCAGAAGCTGACACCTCAGACGTTTGTTATACTGTTTATTGGGAGGTCAAGGCCAGAAGATGACACCTCAGACGTTTGTTATACTGTTTATTGGGTATGGGGGTCAAGGCCAGAAGCTGACACCTCAGACATTTGTTATACTGTTTATTGGGTATGGGGGTCAAGGCCAGAAGATGACACCTCAGACATTTGTTTTACTGTTTATTGGGTATGGAGGTCAAGGCCAGAAGATGACACCTCAGACGTTTGTTATACTGTTTATTGGGTATGGAGGTCAAGGCCAGAAGCTGACAGGACAGAGAACTGTTATAGCTTTCAACATGTCCGAGGGTCATGGCCTGAAGTTTACTCACCATGCAATTCTTATGCTGTTCAGCATGGACGGGGGTCATGGTCGGAAATCCCATGGGTATGGGAGGTCATGGCCAGAAGCCTCCCTCACTCCATACAAACTATTACTGAAACTAGTGAGTGAGTAGTTTTACGCCGCTTTTAGCAATATTCAAGGGATATCACGGCGGGGACACCAGATATAGGCTTCACACATTGTACCCATGTGGGGAATCGAACCCGGGTTGAGCGAACGCTTTAACCATTAGGCTACCCCACCGCCCTACTGAAACCAGTATCTATTGCATGTATATGGTCTCTGCTGAAACTGAACAAACAGCTACTGAACTGTCTTGTTATGCAGTCGTGCCCCAACTGTGTAAAGCGGTGCAGTTTACTGTGCTATAACTAGAATACTGTTCAAAACCCAACTCACTCACTCAGCACGGAGTTTCCTCTGATAGAGAAAGTTCTCAGGCAATGTGACGAACAACCAACG